CAAGGCAAGTGCTCTAACGCTGAACCACATTCCTGGCACAGTCTTGGAATGCTGTAGACACTAGGAAGTTGAATTTCTTACCTAAGGGTAAGGAGGTTCTTGGGGGGGTTTAAGAAGGGGTAAGAAATGGCCCGTTGGGCATTGAAAGCTGCTATCTCTGAAGTGCTGCCTCTAATAAAGGCTTTTTTATTTCCTTCTGTAAGTTTATGAAAACAAAATCAAGCTTGAGCACAGAGGAATGCAGGGCTTCCAATTTGCGCCCACAACTAGTACCTACGGGAGAAAATGAAACATGCACATCTGTGTTTCTTCTTGAAAAATGGATGTTCCAGCCCTCCAAAGCATTCATTTTGCTGCCTATGTGGATGCGGTTTTCTCATTATCTCAATTGTTTTTGAGGAATCGAAACCAGGAGGGATATAAGGAAGTAAAATGGGATAAAACTCTATATCCCGTGAGAGTTGGCATTTTATTCATGACCACCTATACCTCCCCTGCACGAAAGGAAGTAAAATTCGCCAAGATGAAAATATGGTTTAACACTGCCTTGAATTTTATAAATTTCCTGGTCACATGCAGGCCATTTTCTTTACGTGGTAGAAGAAACACAGTCAAGATGACTCCACGTTGAGTGGTGGCTAAATCGAAAGCCTCCAGTTTCTCCCATGTTTATCACAGAACAAGACTTGGGAAGCCAGACACTCTTTTTTTAGGCACAGTTTTAAGGTTACCAGATTTGGCAAATAAAGAGATACCCCTCTTCCATGTCACACTGGATTTCAGGTTAACACAAAATGGTCTTTATGTAAAGATGTCTGAAATATTACACAGGACATACTTATACTGAAGAAAAGCATGCATCAGTTCCATGAAATTCCATCCAGACATCATGTACCAATCTAGCCAACTTGCTCACTTCTTACTAGGAAAGGAGGAAGTAGACTGGAGTGCACTGGGGAATTATTTATTCTTGATAAAAAAGAGACCTTTGAAGAAAAGATCTATCTTTTTCTCCCTGCAAGAATGCAGTTGTGATACCTGCCACTCAGGCAGGAACTATGTGACCATATGGCAATGGGGAAAAGGTTGAAAATCAACATGAGGAAAAAATGAGAACACAAAGAGCAAACCCAGATTTTTGACCATAGTCTTCAATCAATATATTACTACTAAAGCTAAAAGCATTCTCCATACCCACTGCTCAGGTTTAAAACAAAATAAAAAAAACTATTTCTCCAATTAAACACTCAGGAGCCTAAACATTCTGTTTTTATTTTTATTTTTTTAAGATCGTAACTCTTTATAAATAGCATCTAAACCAACCCAAAATGGAAAATGAGACATTCTGTTCAATGAAAGAAAAGTAAATCAGCACCCTTAGCAGTGGGCAATGTGTTTCAGTTTTTGTTATTTTGGGGGACAGAGAGATGAGACACATAACATAGCAATTAAAAGCACAACTTTCAGGGCTGTTTAAATAGAGCACTTGTGTATGTGAGCTCCTGGTTTTAATATAGTGCACTTATCCACCCTCACCCATAAAAGAAAACAAGAGCCTGCTTCTATATCCAACCTAAGTAGTTTTGAGACCAGTTCCATCATTTCTGGACAAATGACAAAATTTCCATGTAAATTTATTTCTTCATATAAATAAGAATACAAACAAAGCACACTGTAAAGTTGCTAAAGGAGAACTGGTACAAGTAAAGCGAAAAGAAACAGAAATACATAATCAGTCTATGAGGTTTTTTTTGGGGGGGGAGGGGTCAGGGAGATAGACATGCACACTCACACAAGCTTATCCGTAGGAAAGATTCCTTGACCAGAGAGGCAAAAATGATTAAACTGCTTCTGTTAGGTGATGCCATGGCTTTCCCACTGAACATTTTCCATGCTTCATGGAAAAGTCTGTTGTAACTGTTACCAAGGCTTTAGGGATGAAATCTGGGGAGAGCGAAGTGTCAGGAAAGAGACTAGCAATAGATAAGGTCCAGCTGCCTGGAACATAGATTTTTCACAAAATAAGACTACACATCCCGAACCATTGCTAAGAACTTGATGTTCAGTTGTTAAGCAATGGGGCATTCCGGAAAATCAATTATCACGGGCACGATGTACCCAAGGAGCGGGAGGAGATATGTCATGAGATAGAGGAGTCTGAGCATGAAGGTCACATAGATAAAGCGTGAGATAGATCCTCTGATCCTCTGATGGAGTCAGTCTGGCAGGAGAACATGAGACAGGAATAAAGGAATTATGGTGGTTGGGGGCTGGAGCGATAGCACAGCAGGTAGGGCATTTGCCTTGCACATGGCCGACCTGGGTTCGATTCCCAGCATCCCATATGGTCCCCCGAGGACCGTCAGGATTAATTTCTGAGTGTATGAGCCAGGAGTAACCCCTGAGCATCGCCGGCTGTGACCCCTCAAAAAATGAAAAAAATTATGGAGGTTGAAAAAAAAAACCATGAAGTAGGGAGTTAATAAATGAAAAATTCACGTGCAATGGGGGGAATCACATGGAAAGAAAGCAGGACTTGTTAAAAAAAATGTAGGAGGTAGGAGCGGAAAGAAACTTATTGGCTCTAGAGATGTGGAGCATTTGAGGAGTGAAATAACCTAAGATAAATAAGATAAGCACCTGTAGAAACAATGTGAGAGATACAGTCTTTGAGTTAAGTTCTGGAATAAAAGTTTCTGGTAAGAACTACCAGCTAGAAGATCAATAATGAGAGAGTACTTACTTGAGCAGCACCTGAAGCAAACTGGACCTGAGAGGGAGAGAGAGAGAGAGAGAGAGAGAGAGAGAACAGCAAAATGTTTTTCTCAACTGCACATAGAACATTCTCTGAGACAGAGTACACGATAGAACACAAAAGTAATCATAAACTTTAAGTTAGAAAAAATCATACAAACGATCTGTTCTTGCTGTAATGAAATGAAACTGGAAATCCACAACTGAAGGAAAACTCAGCCCCGATCTGAGCAGGCTTGGGACCTCCACCCAGATCCTCCAAATTCCAGTAGGTGGGGGTCACACCCACCAACTGGCCCCCTGGCGCCGTGTAATCCCATCAATGGCCAAGACTCAGAGACTGTAAAACCCAGCTCCCGGAAGAGAACAGCGCAGAGTCTCCTGCCCCTGCGCCTGGCTATCCTCGCTGGGGCCTCTTGGAGGGAGAGGATTGAGTTTCCTTCCCTGCCCCGACCAGGGCTCCGGCAGCCGAAGACCTCCAGAACCAGCCACCACCATGCTGAGACCACTCTCCACACGCATGAAAATACCAGCAGAGGAACAAAGGCATGCGGGTACCGGGGCTGAGATCTCCAAGCCTGCTCAGATCGGGGCTGAGCATCCTCCACCCAGATCCTCCAAATTCCAGTAGGCAGGGGTCACACCCACCAACTGGCCCCCTGGCGCCATGTAATCCCATCAACGGCCAAGACTCAGAGACTATAAACCCAGCTCCAGAAGTGCGCGGCCACATTTGTGGCCATGTGACATCTTACTTTCTCATTCCTACTTTGGACAAACTGGCAGGCTACCGAATGTAACCTGCCCACACGGCAGAGTCTGGCAAACTCCCCATGGTGTACCCAATATGCCAAATACCAGTAATAATGATGGGTCTCATTCTCCTAACTCTGAAAGAGCCTTGAATATGGCACTTTTTAAAAAATCTCAGGGCTAGGACGAAGGAGGCGTTACTGGGTTCTGCTCAAGGCAATCGACGAACAACAGGATGGTCGTGATTGTGAAGGAAAACTGAATGCTCTTAGCCAAAGGATCACAGAAGACACACAAAAAGGAAAATTAGAAAATGGCCTGAGAAAACCGGCAATGAAACACAACTACCAAAACTTATGGAATACTGCAAAGTGAGTGCTAGGAGGGAACTATACAGCTGTGACTGTACATCTGAAGATAAAGAGGCCAGAGGCATAGCTTAAGGAGCCGAGTACCTGCTCTGCACACAAGAGGGCTCAGTTTGATGCCCAGCTCAATAGATTGTTCTGAGCACTGCAAAGCTGAGTCCTCATGCACAGAGCTTGGAGTAGCTCCTGAGCACGATCAGGTCTGACCCCCAAACCAATCCCTACCTCTATCCCCCAAACAGGAAAGAGCTCACCTAAACTTCCATTTTGAGGAATGACAAAAAGAGCAAATCAACCTAATGTTAGAAGGGAGGAAATAAGGATTAGATCAAATAAAATAGAGAACAGAAAAATAAAGAAAATAAAATGAAAGCTTTTTATTTCAAAAACTCAACCACATTGATAAATCTTTAGTTATATTTTGGGACAGTGAAAGTGAAAGTGAGACACAAATCAGATTATTAAACTCAGAAATAAATGTGAGAACTAAATTATTACTGAGCAGAGATAAGAAGAGTGAGATGGTTCTACTCTCTATGAACAATTAAATACCAACAAATGGGTAGTCTAGATAAAATGAACAAATTTCTAGACATTCTTTTACAAAGATATAGAAACCCGAACAGACCTGTCATTATATGGGAATGTAATCAATACCAAAACACCTTCCAACAAAAACAAAATTAGCAAGCACCCACAGCAAGGAAATAAGATGGGAATTTTAAAAAAGTGTGAACCAGATAGTTTCACTTAGCAGAGTTTTAAAACTCACCAGTGAGTTCTACAAAACATCACACACACACACACACACACACACACACACACACACACACACACACTTCCTTATTACGTACAGGTCCAGGGAACAGATACAGACATTTCAGGGCATCATTTAGCTTGCCCGAACAACCAATATGAGGACATAAACAGGCCAGTTTGGCAAGGGCAAAGGGCAGAGGAGTTGAGCTGCTGCCAACGTGCACACAGAACCCCCCACTGGACCAAGGGCATGAACCTGATCCATAGGGAGCAAGACAAGAGCAACTTTGGGTTCGGGAGCTCTGCTCTAAGCTGCTGGCAGGGTACACACTGGCCCACTGGAGGAAAAGATGAGCCACACGTGGGCACTTGGCAACTGAGATTTATTGAAAACAACAGGTCAACAGGAGTCGGCATGATGACTTGGCAGCTGAGCTCTGAGACGAAGCCTGGCCGCCGCCACTCGGGGAACTCCGGGTGTCAACTCCAGGGAGGTTGAGTGGCCATGGCTTCTGGCTCCACGCAAGCCTTGAACAGGTTAACAAGTTATGTCCTTCAAACCTGAGGGGAGGAAACACAGAGCGCTGTTGAGAGACTCATGTCTGGAACCAAGGACACGGGCAGGAGGATGAAACTGTGCAGACCCCTGGCCCACAGTGCCTGGTCCCGGGCACCGCCCTTACCCTGAATGCTGTGGCTCTGGCCTCCTGTTTTGTAAGATGAGATTTCACAACGCCGTTGAGACGGGGTGAGACGGTGCTTACGGGGTGGTTTTAAAGGGATTAAGAAAGCTTTCGAAGTTTATGGGGTCTCTGCAGCCAGGGCCGGAATGTCTATCCTTTAAGTGCCTGAACTTTGAGCAAAGGCACACGTGGTTCTTCAGCAGACAGAGGTCTTTGCCAAACAAAAGCAAGCACTGATATTGAAAAGCAGTCAAGTGGGAAATGGGGACAAAGAAATCTCTTTTGCAAAACGTTCCGCATCCCATCATGGCTTTATAAAAAGCTGGAGTGAACTCATTTGTGCTTACAATCTACGTTTGCAAAAGTGTTTTGGTCATAATTTCATGCTAGAGTTTTATAACCATTAGTATTATGCTTGTGGAGTCTAATAGCAAGGGCAAATGCCCAAATTATACTATTACACTAGAAAGATCAGTAATCAAGTTATGTAAATTTAGAGATCAGCTCTGCTAAAAATAAATAGAAAAAGTGAAAGAAAAAAAGGATGTTAGAGGCTATCTCAGAATGATGATGGGCATTGTCCTATTTTTATTGTCCTATCTTTCAGAGTGTTTCCTAAGTCTTAATAAAAATTACACTGATTTTAAGAACCAGCGAGGAAAGGTAATGCGAAAATACACAATAAAGTTTAAATATAAAACAAATCCAAGAAAATAACATTCTCTGGGATGAACAGTACAGCTGGGTAAATCTATCAACTACTGAAAAGAGAATTCAAAGGTGAAGATTAACAAATTAGGGACAATCTGGAAATTTTACAAAGGAGACGGTGTATGTCTCTGCTGAGCTGCTTGGCATGGGTGCCGGCCCACGGCTATATTATTTGGACACACACCTGCAGGAGGCCGTCTCCAGTAGGCTGAAAGGCAGCTACTGAAGACCTATCTAAGCATCATTTCTACAGGCTGTAGACACAAGGGTAATTCCTAGGAGAAGCAAGAGCGACGTGAGGCAGCCTGTCAAGAGAGAACTGGATCAAGACCAAAGTATTTAGAAATATGAGGCCCAGATCCATTCTCTCTCCAACAAAAGCCCTACTCTGCCCTTCTGGAACTTCACATTAATCACAGGAGAGGAGAGGGAGAAATCCAATGCATGGCTGCACAGCTATCAGGAATGATGTCTGTTTACTATCGACTAAGCCTGGTTACACGTTGACTGAAAAAACAAACACTGGCTACTTTTATTGAGGTGATTATTAATAAGACTCTCAAGGTCTTATCTTCCAACTGAGGAAATTCCAGAATAGTCCTTTCTAGGGTGTAGGTTGGTTAGTTTGTTAGTTTTGGTACATGCGGTTTATTTGAACAGCTCTCCTAGTTTCAGGGCTATGAAAACAGAGGATGTAAGAGCAACTTCTCTGGAAATGCACATGGATACACGTATACAACCCTCTAGTTCTTTCGGGGCCCAGAGTAGCAGGCACTCTTTGAAAACACAATGTTCTCAGTTTCCAGATCACATCAATAAAAGCCCAACTCCATACCTAATTCAGTTCCACCTTTGGTCGCCCAACACAGGCAGTAATGCTGCATGAGCTGCTCAAGAAGCTCCATCTCGTCCAGGAACTCAAGGGACTCTATTCTGTGGGGAGAATGAAAACAAAACCATGACAATGCATCCAATTTAAAATAAGGACAATGGGTCACCGCTAGGGAGATTAGCCGAAGCTGACTACGAAACAATATGTACAATGTGGTTCCAGTCTTATTTTTACTGAAAAGAAAAATACCATAAACAAAGTCAAAAGACAAATAATATGATAAAATGAGGAAAGAAGCGTTTGCAATACAAATGGTAAAGGGTAGATTTCCTTGCTATATAAAGATTCTTTGCACATCAATGACAGCTTTAAAAAGTCATCTAAAAGACAGATCAATAATTTTTTCTCTCTCATTTATGAGAAATGTAAATTAAAGCACAAACCACCAGCTTTCAAATGGAGAAAGATCAAAGAAAGCTGACACTTTAGCAGGGACACTGGAAAAAGGTGCTCTCCTGCTTACTTCCAGTACTACAAAATGTGAAACTTCTTTGGGGGGGGGGTCATTTGATTAGATCTACTAATGTTTAAAATCTTATTCTGTCGGACCTCAGTGTTTTCAATGCTTTGATTCCATTGACAAAGATAATAAAAACTAAAAAACAACAGAGCCTCAAAAAGTTCTTTCATGACAAAAGAAACTCAAGCTAGAATAAAAAGACACACTACAGGATGGGAGAAAATACTGGCACACAATACTTCAAAAAAAAAAAAAACAAAAGACTAACATCCAAGATATATAAAGCACTCAACAAAGCTCAACAAAAAAACCAGCAACAATCTCATCAAAAATGGGGAGAGAAGAACACTTTTCAAAGCAGATACACGGACAGCCAACAAGTATATGAAAGTGTTCACCCTCACTTATTATCAAGGTAATGTAAATCAAGGTGACAATGAGGTTATCACCTCACACCAGTGAGAATGGCATAAATCAAACAGGCTGGAAACAATCGGTGTAGGCAGAAATGTGGTGAAAATGGAACTCTTATTCACTGTTGGTGGGAATGTTTTCTGGTTAAACGTTTGTGGAGACTACGGGGATTTCCTAAAAAGCAGCAGTACAGAGAGTCCATGTGATCTAGCATTTCTACTCCTTGGCATCTACCTCCAAAATAGAAAATATTCACTTGAAGAGACATATGCACACTTTATTTTTAATGCCTACAGTACAAGCGCTAGACTACTGAAGCAACCCAAATCCCCCACACCAGATGAATGGGTGAAGGAGTTATTGGAAATACACACACTGGAATACTACACAGCTATAGAAAAAAATGAAATCAAACAGTTCACTCCAACTTGAAGGAACCTGGAGGGTATAATGTTAAGTGAAGAAAATCAGAGGGAGGACAAATGATCTCATTCATCCGTTGTTTACAGAGAAACAAGACAAGGGAGTGGAAGACTGAAAAGGGTGACAAACTCTTGCTCCTGAAATACAGAACTGAGAATGCTAAGTAAGGGCAGTGTGGGATAGCAGTTACTGATGAGGAGGGCTGGATGCTACATCAGGTGGAGAGCTTTGGGCACTACGCTGGAGACAGGTCAACTGTGTACATTAAAACGATACACATTAAACTATTATAAACATGACCCCAACCATAATTAAAAAAACCATTACCAAGTGGAGGCTGTTGGGAGTATTGAGACATTGGCAGAGTGAGGCTGATACTGCGGAGTTGGAACACTGTTTGCCTGGAACTACATCACAGTGCCTGAGTAAGTAAAAGTCTGGGAAGAAAAAAACAGGCTATGGTATACCCTGGGCCGGAAAGGCTAACCCTCACAAAGAAATAAGTTTACATGCTCTGCACACTGGTGAAACCAAATGGACCATGAGCACTGCCAGGACTGACCCCCAAGCACTACCAGACCCGGCCCCTAAAATATAAAATGGGCCCCGGGGGGTGGCCAAGTACATACTGTGAATGCAAGAGATCTAGACTTGATACCTGACACCACCATAAGTAAGACCCTCAAAATGAAATGCTCATCCTTTTAATAATTCTGTTTTAAAATAAATTCACATTTTTTGGGGGTCACAGGACAGAACTGGAATTTCTGTGATAAACTTTGTCTCCACACGCTGATTTTTCAGTGATATACACATGAAACTTAATGTGTGAATGCAACATTATTTCAATGAAAGAATTTATACTAGATCTGTGCAAAGAAGTATTTTTAAAAAACAATTGCTGCAGCAGTATCAGAAGAAAGACAAAGCACCAGATGACTGCACTTTATATGCAGAATATAAAGAAAGCAAACAGACACACCACCCCTTGGATTCTGAAAACAGGACTAAAGTTACCAGTAAAAGCGGGGTGGAGGGTGGGAATAAATGATGGCAGGGGATCCAAGAGACTGTGGTCCTCAGCACTTTGCCAGCGAGGATAAAATGCATTTAAACAAGTGTGAACCTACACACACACACACACACACACACACACACACACACATATATCAAAATATATATATTTTGATATATATATATATATATAAAATCACTGTCACTGTCCTCCAATTGTTCATCTCTCTCTCTCTATATATATATGTGCTATAAATATATCCAGCTCTATAAACCAATGTACCTGTTTTTAAAAATTGCATATGCATCGCAAATAACTGCAATCTGCATGAAATGGGTTAAATCCTAGCTGCTTCAACTTGGGGTTACAACTCCACTGGAGGTGGCATGACTGAATGTGTGGAGCAGAGTACAAAAATGTTGTCAAGTAAATTTATGACCATTAAGTCATATTTGATTTGCACGCCTATTTTATGTGAAAATTTCTTGGGAGAAAGAATTGGAAAATAACATATTAGAGACATCTGGAGTGAATGTGGGAAGCTGCTAATCTACTTCCGTTCTTGAGAATTGTGCTCAATTGCTTACTCATTTCATGGCCTTTCAACAGTGGTTTTATATACTTTGTCTAGCCTTTGAAGTTCTTAATGATATAAGTCAGATACCAGTTACTTTATGATGGACCACCTTTAAGGCAATGTGTTTATTTTGCTGACATATTCATCAAACGTGCCTTGAGGCTTGTTACATGTTACATAACAATTAGAATACTTATAAAACTGCTAAAAGATGCAGATTTCTCTTTCTGCTTGCAGAAAACCTTTTTTAAAAAATAGAAAATAAATATCTTTGCAGGAAATTTTTTTTTCTTTTTTGATGAAAAGAGGTCTTAGGCAAAACAAAAACAAAAGTTCAAAATGCCTTGGGTTAAATAAACCAACATTATTAATAAAGAGTATGAATTGGAGGTGGAGAGATAGTACAATAAATTGAGATCTGCCTTGCATGTGGTCGACCTGGGTTCAAATCCTTGGCATTCCATATGGTCCCCTGATCACTGCCAGGAGTGACTTCTAAGTGCCGAGCCAGGAGTCACCCTTGATCACTGCTGGGTGTGGCTCAAAATCAAAACAAACAGAGAGAACATAAATAGATGTATTAACACAGAACAGCCTTTAAGTATTACAATGGAATTTAAAAAGCAAGTAATTCAGTAAGTAACATGCACAGCACATTACCTATGTAAAGAAAAGTGGGGCAAAACATGTTTTGTATTTGCAGATTACTTCTGGGAAACATTAAATAAACTTGCTGGTCTCTAATTACTGAGGAGACAGCAAACAGACACTCTTCACAATAAACACTCTATCCTAATTTACTGTTTCTTTTTCTAATCAAACGCGTGTACTTCTTACAAGTAAGTACAAGGTAACTGTAAAATGTAAATATGTGCAAATACAGAAACATGCATAAATATGTGAAAACAGCTTAAAATAGTTTTTTTTTCTGCCGAAGTTCAGGCAGAATATTTTTTTTTGGATACTTCCTAAAAAGTAACAAGAAAATAAAAATGGTCCATATTCCCACTATTTACTATGCCTCTTACCAACCTTCTGGCATTTCCCATTTGTTTGGACGCCGTTGTGAATGCGGGTGTACACGTGCCTTTGCCTGTATGGGCACATTCATTCCTGTCAAGCTACGCAGAACGAAGGGCCACTGCTGAGGTGAGAATCATTACCCATAAAGTACTGTTTGCTTCCCCAACTAGTATTACCAGATGCTGTGCGGGACAAATTTCCTGGAGAAGACCACCACCATAAGAGACACTCCAGGATGATTACCAGGCTCCGGCTGGGGGAAGATGCTTACTGGGGGCTGCTCGTTAGACCCGACCCAGGGCAGGCACCTCTGGAGGTGTTGGGAGACAGGAGCCTCTCACATGGTACTCAGGGGTCCCAGTGGCTACACTGGTGGTTCTCAGACAACCAAGGATGCGGTATAGCTCTGGCCCTGCATGCCGGGGATCCCAAATCACCCCGATGTGCCTGGGGCAGCCCAGTGGCGCCGGAGGCCTCCAGGGCTGCACCCAGGGATGTTGCAGGGACCATGGGGTGCCGAGCATCAAACCGGAGGTGTGCCCTGTCAGCTGCCCACCTTGGGGGGAGGAACAGTGCCGGGGGCACAGCACTTGCCAACTCTCCCAGGCCTGTCTTAGAGCCCTTTTCACGCACAAATCTGAAAATTTTCTTTTTATGTATGGAAAAAGCCCTTTGTAAGTGCAGACACGAATTCTGACACATCTGTAGCCTGGGAGGGCCGTGTGCAGCCTGGCCCGGGGAGAACAAAGCCCGCCTCAGCTCCTGAATGGTCACCTAAGGAAGGGCTTCTTTTTTTTTTTCTCCTAGTGACTCCTTTCGCCTGAGGGAAAAAATATTTAAAAAAAAAAGCAAACATGTTTTTTTCAGGGGCTGAAGTGATATAGTACAGCAGGCAGGGCGTTTGCCTTGCACGTAGCCAACCCGGGTTCAATTCCCAGCATCCCATATGGTCCCCCAAGCACCACCAGGAGTAATTCCTGAGTGCAGAGCTGGGAGTAACCCCTGTGCATTGCCAGGTTTGACCCAAAAAAGAAAAAAAAAACCCAAAACAAAACCAACTGTTTTCCAGGCACCAGGTTTTACAGTACCGTTGATAGCATTTTATGCATACAACTTGCCAACGCCATTCCCCCCGCCCCCATGACTCCCCACTGTACATCTCCCTCCATCACCCTGCCACGGGAAGCTCAGTTCCGTGGACCACTTCTCATTTTCTGTTGCCTGTGGCCATTCGTTGCCCCCTTTCTATATTGCTTTTATGTCCCACTACAGGAGAGGGAACCTTCTGGATCTGCCCCCTTCCTCTCTAACCTACCCAGCACACTGCCACCCGAGAAATGTTTTCCTGGCCCTGTTTTTCTAGGTATACAAATCAACCACGGGATGACAATTAGAGAAACCTGCGTTATAACAAGTTTTTAAGATTTCTCACAACCTCCCCTTGAAGTTGCCACGTGGGCTTGGCGTCACAGTTAAGCAACTCGGCTCTAAAGGATATCTTCTGCCTACAAATGGCCAGGGGTCACAAGAGACAAACGCCTGTGGAGAACGGCGGTGTTCTAATGCCAGTCCGAGGGCCAGTGACAGGTCTGTAGATGCAGAAAGGTTGAAAACCACTGGCGGAAGAATAAGCTGTTTCCCCTTGGGCCCAACACAAACCACGGACTCCGTGCTGGGAATGTGGAGGAATTGCTGGAGGATTTCCATCACGGATGCCAGAACAGGGCTATTCAAAAACTGTGGTTTGCCGTGGAACACCAAAATCAATTTGCGGGAGAGGCAAATTCTGGAAGAATTTAGGAAGTACTGAGATCATAGCTTTGTAAAATTCAAGTCTCTGACACATGCATGATTTAGAAGTGAGACTTCTACAAGGGTAGTAAGAAGCTCTGTGAAGATGCAAAGCCTAAAAAGTGCTTCCCTTATCTTTAAGAGAACAAAACCCATAACCCCATGCCTCCAAAGGCAAGAAGAAAGCAAAAATCAGGAAGTCAGGAAGTACATAGTAATAAGGAAGGAAGGAAGGAAGGAAGGAAGGAAGGAAGGAAGGAAGGAGAAAAAGCTATCATTAGCAATATCCAGAAAAGTACATGGTAACGATCTGTTACTATTGTGTTTTTTTTTAAATATTAAAAAAAAAACACAATAGTAATCACATGAGCTATAGTTACAAAGCTTCCATGTTTGAGTTTTGGTCATACAATGATCAAACACACATCCCTCCACCAGTGCACATTTTTCACCACCAATGTCCCCAGTATACCTCCCCTTTCCAACCGTCCCCCTGCCTCCATGGCAGACAATTTCCCCCAAACTCTTACTCTACTTTTGGGCATTATGGTTTGCAATACAGATACTGAGAGGTTATCACGTTTGGTTCTTATTCTACTTTCAGCACACATCTCCCATTCCGAACAATTTCTGTTACTATTGTGACAGAGAAATTGAAAGAAAAAAATTGGGTCAGGGAGAGGACTCAAAAGATCAGAGGGCATAAATTGTTGTTCCCTGAGCACTGAGCTGGGAGTAGGCCCCGAGAACCACTGGCTGTGGTCCCTAGCACAAAATCAAACTACACAGGACAATTAAATGCCTGGCTACACACAAAACTTTTCAGTCACTAAGCTTTATTATCATTGTCCATCTATCCACACAGCTTAAGAAAGAACATGAGACCATGCTCCATAAGAGGAAACGGCAAGCTTCACTGTTTAGTTATCAGAGACAAATATGATCTATCGCTAACTTTCACAGAGAGCAGTTTACAGACCGACACGTGTAATATGAACCTGCTGCTTCAATCCAACAGCAATCTCTGCATACATATTTGTCTTTACAGACACGAAGAACACAACTCCTGCTTATTAACAACAGCTCACTGACGGCAGGGGCTACAAAGCACAGTTACAACTAATTTATACTCCACTGCTCTGGGAAATTTTTTTTTTAGCACGTGCATGAATTTCTTTTACAATGAGACAAAGGTGATTTCCAAATCTGTGAGTGGAATCTTTTCCCGCCTTAAGAGTCCTCCATTATTCCCTACCCCCTAGAATTTCCACTGCACTGGTTGCTCTGGGAATTTTCCAGGTGCACTTGCTTATTCTCACGAAGGCTGTTCCTTTTGGCATACACTTGACCTTAGGTAGGGGCTAATGGGTTATCTACAAGGTGCTATCAGTGTTTAATATTCTTAGCAAGCGACAGCACAGCAGGTAGGGCATCTGCCTTGCACTCAGCCGACCTGGGTTCAATTCCTCCATCCCTCTTGTAGAGCCTGGCAAGCTCCCGAGAGTATCCCACACAACAGCAGAGCCTGGCAAGCTCCCCGTGGCGTATTTGATATACCAAGAGCAATAACAAGTCTCACAATGGAGACGTTACTGGTGCCCACTTGAGCAAACTGATGAACAATGAGAGGACAGTGCTACAGTGCCACAGTGCTTCAACACTTTGGAACTCTAGGGCTGAGAGACCGTGCAGGGGGTAAGGGGCACGCCTTGCATGTGGCCTACCCCAACTCAATCCCAGCACTGTCTGGTTCAAACACTGCAGGGAGCAGCCCATGAGCGGAGCTGAGAGTGGCCCCCAAAGTGCAGATGTAGCACCCAGCCTCCCATCACCCCTCCCAGACCACCCCCCCCCCCCCACCAAGGATACAGGCTCTCTCTGAATGCCCTTACAGCCCAATTAATCAGCAGGGGGGAAACTTTCCCCTAGCCATACCTGCTCACTTCAGCTCGTGGCAATCTGCTGTACAATTCCATCATGTCCACCGCCAGGGCCGTTTCCCACCCATTCAACAGGAGGCGTTCTTTCTGAAGTGGGCAGCGAAGAGAGAGACACCACAGAGAGCTGCCTACAGGCCCTGGGACACGGGGCACACTCCATCCCTCCTAGACCCACTCCGGCTACTCTCCCGGTCCCGCGGTTTACCTTGCAGTTTCCTAAATGGAGCATCAACCTTACACAGGGAGTTGGGGGGTGGGGAGACTCACCGAAGCATGAAGAACAACAAGGTGCCTTATCAGAGTGGCATGGGCACAACCCTTGAAAATGGGAGCCTGCTGGGAGTGGTCTCTTCCAGCGAAACTAATGGTTCTGAAATGGGGGTGGGAGGCTCCCGATTCAAACACTTTCTCCATCTTTTCATATCAGCTATACACTTTTTAAACCATCGGAGAAAACTGAAAAAGGATGGGTATTTGAGGAGATGGAGGGTTACTACTGATTTACTACTGATTTATAAGGGGCAATAGTGGTATTACTGTTAGCTTGGGGTGAATAAAAGTTCTTACTGGTAGAGTCACACTGCAGCATTTTAAGGGGGAAGTGATCAACTGCCTGGGGCTTCCCTTAAAACAGTCCAGCGACAACTGCAACAAAAATCTGGCTGATAAATACGGTAATTGATAAAATATCAGTAGTACTGAAGATGAGGGAGGGGACACTGGTATTTATTTTGCTCCTCTTTCACCTTCCGTGCTATTTAAAGCACCATTTAGTAAGTTCTGGGCTGTTCAAAGCGTAACTGGCACTTTGCCTCGAAGTGGCAACACAGAGCATGGATTTCCCTAGCACGAGGCACTGGTGGCCACGGGGAGCCCTGCCCACCTCCGCAGCAGTACGTCGGGAGGGCACCTATCTTGGCTGAGGAAGGGCCCAAGGGGTGTCCCCATCTCTGCTGGCTGACCTGTGACTCTAGGGACTTGCAGGTTTCCACTCCTGCCAGGTCACACTGCCGTCTCCGTAGGTTTTCAATCATGATCTGCCCAAACCGGTCATTCATGTTCACCTGGGGAGTGAGAGAGGAGGTCTGGCATCACCACAAGGCTCAGATTCTTCTGGAAGCAATACAAAACACCGCTGTCCTGTTTACAACCAGTCAAGGCCAAGCCTCGCTAGTACCCAGCACACTGCAATTACGGGGGCAGCACTAGCACAGCAGCAAGGGGAGGTGGTACAGTTGTTTCAAGGGCCGCCGGGCAGCATACATCTATTGGAAGTACCGCCTGTGACCTACCTAGTGTCCCACAAATATCTGCGTGTACATATGCAAAGATGAGGGATGTTACTGCAGCATCACATATAATAGGAAGATTCTGGAAAGAACTGAAATAAGCAATCAATGGAAGATGAAAAATTGGGGCACATTCTTCTGATGAAATACTATACAGCCATGAAAACAAGAAGAGAAACAGATATGAAATGATCTCGAAGACAAATTCTTAAAAAGGAACTCTTAAAAAGGGGGGCTGGAGAGATAGCTCAGGGGCTTTAGGCGCCTGCCTTATATGTAGCCAAGAGATACTGCATAAGGTCCCCCAAACATCATCAGATGTGATCCTGGAGCACAGAGCCAGGAGTCAGCCCTGAGGAACACTGGGTGTGGCCCAATCAACTCCACCAAAATAAGAAATAGGAGGATATGTGGGGAAAACAAAAACAAAAAACAAACAAACGAAACCTCTCATCAACCTTTAAGTGAAAAAAATCTTGGGGGCAAAGAGATAGTGCAGTGGGAAAGATGTTTCTCTTACATGACACCAACCCAAGTTTGATCTTTGGAGCTGCATATGGTCCACCAAGTACCCACCTGGAGTGATTTCCCTGGAAAGAGCCAGGAGTAAGACCCAAGCACCACCATGCATGGCCCAAACAAAACAAGACAAAAATAAGAAAATACATACATTTCTGAAATACTTCCTTGATCAGAGTGCTGAAGATTACATAGGACAGAGGTACTTTTCCTTGTATTATTTACATTTGACATGTGGTTTTAAGTTGTTTTGTTTTTGTGTGTCTGAGAGTAAGTTTTTAATTAAAAAAAAAACTAAAATATCATCTATCTCCCTATTATAGACAAATACTACAGCATACTATTAGATGACTGCAGAATATACACTATTATTTCTCTCTAGATAACATAGCAAATAAATTATATATGGTGTTAGAGTAAAGCAACAGCCCAACTTCCTCTCTTCAGAGGACATATAATGCCACGTGGCACAAGTGACCAGCCCGCACACTCCCTGTGGGGGGTGAGAAAGGGGCCAGCACACACTTTCTCATTTTATTACTTGGATTAGGATCCTGGCTTGACAATTTCTGTGGAGCGTGGGCAAGATATTTAACCTCTGTTAAATTTACTCCTTTTACCTGTGAAACTGGGTACGTCCCCATGGGAGTACCTTGTGTGAGCTGTTATGATTATTCAAGCTAAGGAAACTAAGCCTGAGGGGTGCTGATTACTCTTCCCCCAACTTCCTCTCTGCACACAATTGAAAATCCAGTCTCACTTCCGACTCTGCAAAACCAGTAGCTTCCTCAATAACATGGACGCCAATTAGAATGTATCGTGCATGCTATACACACAGTGTATTGTTAAAATGAACCAGAGAAAAGGAAATGTTATGAAGAAAACCATTATGAGGGGCCGGAAAGACAGCACAGCAGGGATGGTGCTGGTCTTGCACGAGGCTGAGCAGGGTCAATCCCTGGCGCCACACTTGGGGGGATATTTGTGCATAGAACCTGGAGCGAGGGCCAAGCCCACCATGCATGGCCCAAACAAAAGACAAAAATAAAATATATAAAGACCATCACACCTGGTGGTTTCCTAAGCACCACCGGGAGTGACCCCTGAGCACAGACTCTGGGCAAGAAGCCCTAGGCACAATAAGCTGTGGCCAAAAAAAATCAAAAAGAAAACCGTAAGAAAATCACCCCTAAATTTCCAAAATACTTACCGGAAAAAATTTACATATAAGTGGATCCATACGGCTCAAACATACATTTCGCTCAAGGGCCACTCTCTAGGAAAGTACCTGACAAACAAGCAAATTCTAAGAATTTTTATTAAAAGTATGGAGATTATCAATACCTAAGTTGTGCTATCACTTTAGGAAATAATGTGAAGCAAGCAAGATATGCAAGAATGCTGACAATTCTGTAACTGCTATCAATTACGCTCCATGTTCACATATTCCCCCCAATGTAAATAGAGCAAGTAAAGATGGTAGGTGAGATCTGAACATCTGGAACACGGTCCATTCCCAGCAGGCCCACCCCCAGTGGCACTGGCTCTCAATCCAAGTGGTGCTGAATCAAAGAACGCACAAAGGCAGCAGGCGAATGAAGGAGCCCACGTTGGAAATGTGTGGAAATGTGGAGAGTTAGAGTTCATTTTCTCCAGGTTTGGTATCATGAAAGCCAAAGAACTGCCAGAACTGAGCCACATTTCAAAAGATAAAGAGGCCAACAAGTACAGCAACAGGTACAGCAATCACCGGAAAGTGACTCTGAGGAAAGAAAGAAAATGCCAAAAAAAAGGAATTGCCCAGACAGGAACCCGAACTGGGGCCGGAGAGGGGAGAAGGCCAGAAGACCAAGTTATGGGGGGGGGGGGGGGGTTGAGAGCGAGTGTAGGATGCAAGGCAGCTGAATGGCATCTGGGCACCATGTTTGGGCATCTGAGTGCCACCAGGGCTAACTCCTGAGTACCATGGGGCATGGCACAACATCCCATCTGCCACCTCCAGGCCCTGCGAAGGAGCCCTGGGCCTCATTCCCTAGACATCTGTCCATAACTACATGACACTGGGAAAGAACTACCTATCGGTAACACATTTTAAATAGGAAGTGAAGGAAAACAATAAAAATAGCTATCAGGTACTCGGCGCTCATGCTGACTACTATATGGCATCTCAGAATTCCCTGCTAAAGCTTAGCAGGCACATTTATCCCTTAAAAACAAAACACAAGGGTTTGGAGAGATTTAAAGAGATACACATAGTGAGGTGTATGATTGGGCAGCACTGACTACTTCTACAACCCTACGTTGTGGGGGACTATCATTATCCTCATTTTTTCGGTTCAGTAATCAAGACAGAGATAGCAGTCATGTGACTTGTGCAGGTCACACAGTCAGGCATCGTACCTCCTCCAGAGCACGGATTCCCAAACCACCATGCAACTCCTCTGGAGGTCCATGGCCAATAAGAGGTCGGGACAGGATTCAGCTCCCAAGCCCAATAATTCCATAGCTCTTAAAGGTAACCCTAGGGGGCTGGAGAGATTACGGCAGATAGGGCAACTGCCTTGCATGTAGCCAATGCACGTTCAATCCCTGGTATACCACAGGGTCCCCTGAGCACTGCCAGGAGTAATTCCTCAGTGCAGAGCCAGGAGTAACCCCTGAACATCACTAGGTGTGGTCCAAAAAAGTTAAAAACATGAAACAGAAAGATAACCCTAGATTAAAAGAGCAAGTGATCAATGGATCAAACTCAGTGATATCAGACCTTAGAGTGTTTTGTGTAAACATCTTGCCTTTCTAAACTCTTTTGAAAAGCCAGAGCATTCTGGCAACTCTCTGTTCCCTTCCCAGGCAGTTCCAGTGACTAGAACTGAGCAGTGACGGGTGCACGGCTGGCCAGCTCTTCACTGACCCCACCTGGAAAACCCGTCTCCTTCCTCCAGACACATCACTGACCCGCCTTGGAAGGCAGCCAGGCTCACTGTCCCTAAACTGCTGACAGCCACACATTCCCGCCACCAACATCTGGGATCTCAGAGCAAGCCCGGTGATGGAACAGGACGGTAAGACACCTCTTTATGTGCAGAGAGAGGAGTTCCAAAAAGTGGCGAAAAGTATAGTGGCAACCAAGAGATAAGGAGTCCCGGGGCCGGTGAAACTGAGTAAGAAAGGAGTGGTGTGGGCAGCTGAGCAGAAGGACAGGATCGGGCAGCGGCCCACGTGGGGGAACCCTGTGCAAGAGGCAAGGCCTGTTACCTGTTCGTAGTTGATGAACATGGCTGTCTCAAAACGGTCGGCTGCCCACTTGATGAGGTTTGCTGACTGCTCCGGAGTCATGTAAACCAGCACACATTCCGTTACCAGGAGTGTTGGTAATCTTAAGAGAAGGGAGGAAAGAACGTAAGGCTCCGAAATACATTTCCATCAAATTAGAACTCTGCACGGTCAACTTCCTTGCCCAGGGAAATCTGCAGCAGCAAACAAGGACACAGTCTTATCAGGTGAGTGCCAGGGGTGTCATCCTATCATCACCTGGAGTTTCACATGCTACAACGCTGAACAATGGGAAGTGACTGGTCTGGTGTATGAAAGCCGATTCACTGCACGATGAACTGAAAACAGGCACGGACTCTCCCCTGTCCCACATCACGAGGTAGAAATGGGTCTCCCATCCAAGTGGCATCTGCTTCCCTTGCCCTGGAGTCTGGATTAGTCATGGAGCCTGCACTGGCCAAGAAAACAGCTGCCAACACAATGCGGACAGAAGCTGGGAAACCACATGCATGTTGGCGACTGCTTTCTCAGTGCGCTCGGAAGCCGAGAAGCTTTACTTTTGGGCCTTTTGGGGAGGGAGGGCCCTGTGGCCCGGAGCGAAGCAGCCCAGCTCCCAGATCACCTGCCCACTGCCCACAGCTGAGGAAACGCCAGGGGCTCAGCACAACTGCCTCCCCACACCAGACACACTTCACTGAGATCAGACGAAATCTGGGAAAGTCACAGTCACCTGAGCAAGTAAACTGTGAGTGGTTTTGCATCACTGAACTTCCAGTGACTTTTGACACATCACAAGCTGACTGACACAATGCGGACACTTAAACACAGAACAAAATGAGCCTTCTTAGACAAATGTTGACCACTAAGGATGTGAAACGACACAGAGATATCGGCTAGTACATACTGAGTTACAGACCCAAGGTCATACATCAGTAATTAAGAAGTGACACATTTTCACAGAAAAATCCCATTTGGAAGTCCTCATTTTGAAGAACCCTTGCAACTCCAAATCACGCAGGCCAGAGGACAGAGCTGTCGGTGCGCATCTGTTCTGGGTTACATGGTCTAGTTCTTTATCTTAGACTACAAGTTTCGGGGAAGTGGGGAGCAATTTTTTCTCCCCTCCCACACACCTGAGACAGTTATGCTGATAAGACCAACACGGTCTAAACAGATTTTGCCATCTTTAGATCTCTACTGGCTTATAGCTCGCTCTTCTTGTTTCATTGTTTTATGGGCCACACCCGGTAGTGCTCAGGGGTTACTCCTGGCAGGCTCAGGGGACCATATAGGATGCCGGAGATTGAACCTGGGTTGGCCTCCTGCTAGGCAAGTGCCCTCCCTACTGCACAATCTCTCAGCCTCCTCTACCTGGCTCCTTTCTCCTCCTTTGCCTCCATCTCACTGGTTTCTCTTTCCCTGTCTGTCCTTATCTACGTTCCTCCTGGATAAGAGATGATTTCTGCCATAGAGCAAGTGGGCAAATTTTCTCTGGCTTTATTCATGAAGGATCTTGGAAATCCTCCCAAAACCCCCCAAAAACCAACCAAACCAAACAATGTATGATGGGACCCAGAGACACAGCTCAAGTGGCAGAACACACGATGATCATGAGCATGGCCTTGGCACCATGTGGCCATCAGAGCACCACCGGCTGTGACCTCTGTTGGGAGCACTGCCGGAGTAGCCCCCAGAGTGCCTGCTCTCGAGAATCTGCTACCGGGGCTGGAATATAGCTACATGGTAGAGAGCATGCACCACATGTATGAGGCCTGGCCCCCAGCACCAAATTTGGTGTAAATTCTGGTGGTTTTCCCTGGCCCCCAAGTGCGGGGGACTGAACCTGAGACCTCACACATGCAAGGCAGATGCTCTGTCGCTGACCTACGTCTCAGGTCAGGATCCAACTTTCAGATACCTCAGTGATATGTACAAAAATCGTGAAAACACAGTAGTTGAGAGCTTGACTTTATACATTTGGTACTACACTGTGCAGATTATTCTGCAACTCCTTTTTTGTTTTTTTAAAACGCACCCGGGGCCATACATTGTATGTCAACTCATCCATGTTCCTGATGGTTGTCTTCGTTTTTTCAGATCTAAAATGAGGACTGCTGGGGCTGGAGCGATAGCACAGTGGGTAGGGCGTTTGCCTTGCACCCAGCCAACATGGCCGACCCAGGTTCGACTCCCAGCATCCCATATGGTCCCTCGAGCACTGCCAGGAGTAATTCCTGAGTGCAGAGCCAGGAGTAACCCCTGAGCATCACCGGGTGTGACCCAAAAAGCAAAAAAAAAAAAAAATGAGGACTGCAATGAGTATTTTTTTTGGGGGGTCATACCCGGCAATACACAGGGGATACTCCTGGCTCATGCACTCAGGAATTACTCCTGGCAGGGCTCGGGGGACCATATGGGATGCTGGGAATCAATCCGGGTCAGCTGTGTGCAGGGCAAATGCTCTACCTGCTATGCTATTGCTCCAGCCCCAGCAATGAATATTCTTGTACGCACAAGCAGACCCTCTCCGAGAGCATGCAGCTGAAACTGGAATGGCTATCTCCAAAGGGACCCACATTTACAACTAACTAGTGCGTACAGCTGTTCCTCACATGGTAATTGACTCCTACCCATGGCACATAGACAACTACTCCTCTTTCCCCACATCCTTGCTAACACTCAGTACCGTTAAGACCTTTACACTCGACCAACTTGGAGAGAGCAACACAGAATGCCACAATTACCACCAAGATTTAATATTCTCTTCAAATACACCTCACTTTTCAATTCCCCTTCTCTTAAGGGGAACACCGGGGGAACCACGCAGCTTCTGGGTACAAACCCAGGGCTCCTGCCTGCAACCAGAAGCCCCAGCCCGTTATCTGTCCAGCCACGCAGCTTCTCATCTTTATCTGCCTGGTCACTGCTCCTCTGTACACTTTTCTAAAGGACTTTTTATTTTTTGAACACTATTCTTTGTATATTCTCAATTATAATCTTTTCTCCACATGCTTCGATTCTATGTTCCTAAGCATATAGCTATCTTCTTTTGTTCTTTACATTCTGCACCAGTATGCTGCAACAGCAGGACAGGTGTTTCTGGTATAAAAATAAACTTGAAATTTCCTAAAAAGGTCAGATAACTACCCAAGATAGAAACGAGATGATGAAAATGAAGTGAATAGAAAAGTGGGACACTAACATCACGATGTATTTTCACTGGCCTTATAATTTATGTTCACATGAAAACACCAACATACAACGTTCTAAAAAAGAAAAAATCTCACTGTGCATTCATGTTACATTTCTTTAGTTTCTCTTCCAGTTCTGGTATATCTCGGAGATCTGCTCCAATAATGGCGTATCTCTTTGAATCCAATATACTCCCATCTGTAAACACAAGAAGAGATTATAATTTCAATAGAAATAAAGAAATTTGAACCACATGAGGTTTATTTTCTTAAATACACTGGAGTTTTTTTCCATTATAAAAATAAACTAAGACCAAATAGTGGTTGTTAGAAATAAGGGCAGTGAGTGAGGGTGGGTAAATATGGTAAAGGGAGACCACTGTATGGTAGAGAAATGAACTACTAGTGATACAGTAAATAGATGTGTTGAATTTTAATTATCTGTACATCTGAAAATGTTACAATGCAATGTTACTTTAATAAAAGTAGTATTTTACAATGAAGACCGAGCCTTTTTAAAACTTCAAGGATCTACAGATCCTTCACTTGACTTCCTGTTAATCATCGATTTGCTCGAGCAGGCGCCAATAACGTCTCCATGTGTCCCTGTCGCATGCTAGTGTAGCCCAATGGCGGCTGTTCGCTCTAGGAACACAAAGAGCCTCAAACCGATCGTTCAGGGTCTTGATGAAGAAGTCTGACCATCTGGTAGATGGGCGTCCACAGGGTCTTTTGACGTCCCATGGAATCCAGTCGGTAACTGCTCTAGTCCAGCAGTCGTCTCCAAATCTCATTATGTGTCCAGCCCATCTGATTTTTCGACGTCTTGGCAAATGAGACAGCATCCCTGATTCTTGAGCATCGACGGAGGTCGGAACTCCAGATTCTTTCTCTCACTTGAGTGAAGTGTGATACTCCAAGCATAGCTCTTTCGATTCCTCTTTGGGAGACCCAAATAGAGTTCTCATCCTGTTTTCGTAGGGCCCAGGTCTCTGAGGCGTGTGTTTATGCAGGAAGAATAGTGGAATCCAAGAGATGTTCCTGGAGCCAGAGGTTCTTCATCCTCTTAGCTATTTCTTCGACGCTCTTGAAGGTGTTCCAAACTGCTGTCTTCTTGCTGTGCAACTCAGGTGCCAGGTCATTTGTCATGTTGACTTCTCGACCTAGGTACACAAAACTGTTGCATTCGGAGATGGTTGTTCCGCTGAGAGTGAATGGAGCGTCAGGAACGAGGCTGTTTCTCATAAACATCGTCTTCGTAAGATTCAGCTGTAGTTCGACCTTTCCACACTCACGGTCAAAGTCGGTCACCATTTGTACTGCTTGGCTAATGTTTGGTGTTAGAACAATGTCATCAGTGGTGGTGTGGTTGCCAACCATCTGTCTTCACTCCCATTCCTTCCCATTCCAGTCGTTGCATGATGTTCTCAAAGGTGGCACTGAAGAGTTTCGGTGAAATGGTATCACCCTGCCGAACCCCTCTCTTGACATCAATGATCACTTCTTTGTAGAATGGTGAGATCCTGGTAGTGAATCCATAATACAGCTCACAGAGGATCCTGATGTATTGAGTTTGAATGCCCTGATTGGCTAGGGCTTCAATGACCGCTTCCGTCTCAACAGAATCAAAGGTCTTCTTTAAATCAATGAACGTTAGAGCGGCATCTTGAACTCCCGAGAAACCTCAATGAGCTTGGTTATCGTGTGGATATGATCCCCTACCGGTACCAGATAAATACCTCACCGGCAGACCTCTACTACCTCCACTACCTCCACCACCCAGCCGCCACCACGCTCCAGGATGCTTTCCGGGCCCTCACTCACGCATGACTGAAGCCCCACAGAACAAGATAAGCGGAACTCTGAGACCTTGGACTCCAGGCTCAAGGAACCCAGGGACAGAGATTCTCTGCTTGCTCCCACCAACCACAGGTGACAAAGGGATTATAATCAGGAGCCCCACCCTACACTGCCCTGTCTGCTTCCACCAACCACCAGATCTACAGAACAGCATCAGTAATTCATTCCCCCTCCCACCCACCCCCCCGAGTCAGTCATAAAAAGAATTAACAGGATAAATAGGGCTGGAGGGTACTTGCCTTATATGTGGTGGACCTGAGTTCAATCCTAGCACCTGATATGCTCCCCACAGCCCAGCCAGGAGTGATCCCTGAGTGCAGAGTCAGGGGTAAGCCCTGAGCATTTCTGGGTGTGACCCAAAGTCCAAACTAAAAAAAGTGAAAACACGTTTTTGGGCAAGTATAGAGGATATGGAGCGAGAGTTGAAACAGATGTGGGGAGTTCAGAACCCCCATAATCTGTCTGAATTCCATGAATTATCTAACCTCTAAATTTCTGAGTTTTCTTCTCTGTATATTGGAATACGAGTGCCCACTTAATATATTTTTGCAACAGTAAGTTACTATGTCATTTTTAAATGCATATAAACTAATAAAAAATAAAAGACATTGTTACGATGGTTCAAAGAAACATTATTTATGAGTACATGCTCATAAAAAAATCAGAGACGAAGAAAATCACATAAAACCACACCTTACAAAGATAACTATTAAGTGTTGTGGCGTATAACACTCCAGTCTTTCTCATTGTTACACTGTATATCTACAACACAAACACCTCTTACATACACTCACTGCACAGAAAAAAAAGAAAATGGGCCACCAATATTTGAGATTATTTTTCCTACTTAACAATGGCACCAAGGACACCCTTTTCTGTCACAATCTCCTATCATTCCACAGTAGAGACTAATCTAGTACTCCATCACCACGAGACACGGTATTTCCAAGTTTTCTCCGTCTTCAACACTACAAGAAGTACCCCTATTTTACGTCAAATTCTCTTTTAAAGTAGATGACTATTAGTAAAGAAAACAATAACCCTAATAGGTAAACTATGAGACCTCCATAAAAAATAACTTTTTAAAAGATGATATCATTACAGTGGCTCCTAATCCATTATGAAGTTTCTTTACATTAATCACATCACGACCATCCTGTTATTCGTCGACTGCCTCAAGCAGGCCCCAGTAACGTCTCCTTCGTCCTAGCCCTGAGATTTTTTAAAAAAGTCCTATCAACGGCCAAGACTCAGAGACCATAAAACCCAGCTCCCGGAAGAGAACAGCGCAGAGTCTCCTGCCCCCGCACCTGTGCCTGGCTGTCCTCGCCGGGGCCCCTTGGTGGGGAGTGGGTTGAGTTTCCCTCCCCGCCCTGACCAGGGCTCCAGCAGCCAAAGACCTCCAGAACCAGCCACCACCATGCTGAGACCACTCTCCACACACACATGAAGGTACTGGCAGAGGAACAGAGGCATGCGGGTCCCGGGACTGAGATCTCCAAGCCTACTCGGATCGGGGCTGAGCATCCTCCACCCAGATCCTCCAAATTCCAGTAGGTGGGGGTCACACCCACCAACTGGCCCCCTGGCGCCGTGTAATCCCATCAACGGCCAAGACTCAGAGACTATAAAACCCAGCTCCCGGAAGCACACGGCTGCATTCGTGACATCTTATTATCTCATTCCTACTTTGGACAAACTGGCAGGCTACCGAAAGTAACCTGCCCACACTTCCTTACATTAAAGGGAAATTAAAAAGAAATTGGTACAGATTAACAAGTTGGTGACTCTTAAAAGGTTGTGCCAGTTGTGAGAACATAGTTTATCCTGCCATATTCAAAGTCAGAACACCAGCTAGGAGGAATCTGAGCTGTAGATTTCAATTTGAACTGAATCCTTGGAATTTGGTTTTTCTTGGCAAACAGTATCATAGGAATGTTTGGGAATATGACTACTTGGAAGATCTGCAGATGACCTGTAGGTCTAGAGAGATAAAAAGATTCAAGAAAATGTAAGGCAAATGTGCATATATACTATGGTATTTATAAACAAAACAGCTTTATTTTTTTCAGACACTCCTCTGAGCTGGATGGAGTGGCATTCATGAGGGCCCCTTACACCTTTTCCACTCATGAACACTTTTTACCTGAGAATTTTTTACATGACCCTGAGTACAGAGGTTAGATTAAAATAGGTTTACAAATCAGTAGTCAGTATATATCATAAAAAAATTATTTTAAAATAAATCATCAAATGATCTGAGACCTCACATGGGGCTGAAACTTTTAATTCAAGAATATAGAGTAAATCCAGGTTCCTCAAGTTTGAAGAGGCTCTACACCACTGAGTTTCTGGTCCAGGCCTTTCAAGAAGAGAAATCTTGAAGAATCCTGCATTCCTAACAAGTTCCCAGTTGGTATCGATTCTCGTGGAGCCTGAACTAACTTTTGGAAATGAGCATTGATGAAGAGAAGTGGAGAATACACTTAATAAAGATACAATCAATTTGTGCAAGCCTGAACTGTTTTTCAAATAGAGGGTTAAGAAGTAGATTATAAGAAAAGGAGTGCAAGCTGTCTGATGGTTTACCCGAGGCATTTTTCCCTTTACTTTTTCTAGAGAACCATGGGCAGAAGCAAAATATCTGAACAGCAAATCTGTACCCTGCTGATAACCCAGGTTCTTAGTTCCGAGAATTCACAGTGGAAAGTGCTGAACCACAGCAGAAGTAAACTCCTCTTATAATGCTCATAATTTAACAGATTCAAAATATACGTGGTTACAAAACAAAGACAAAATAAGCCACCATCATCTCATCAGAACATGCTAAATATCAGAAATTTATAAAGGGCAAATGGGGATCCTCAGCCAGCCTTCGGGTATCATCATGTCCAAAGTAGATAAAGAATATAAGAAATATGAAGGGACTTGTTGCCCTATTATGAAAACAGTAACTCTTAAATACCTGATGCCCTCCTGCAAATAGCATTAATAAACACACCGAAAGAACTTTCTATCCAGGACCTATATTAAGATTCTTTAGAAATTTGCTTTTGGCATTGTCTGTCCCCAGTCACTGCCCAAGGACTCTGAGAAGCTGAAGGACTACGCAGGCGCAGACTTGAGGCCAGCTCGATCCCTAACGGTATAGAAAGGAGCAGAACCCTATGCTCCGCTGGCCACCTGGACCACCTGGGCAGTGCCAGGGAGAGTGACCTCTCTGGGCAGCCACGTTGGAATGCAGGAAGATTTTTCTGAACTTGCAGTTCCCAAGGACCCCATGCCATTTAGGGGAGACATCTTCCTCCGAGATCAGAATCTCAAATGCGCACATGATGT